ACGCACAAATTTTACCGCATCTCATCTTCAGTGCAAGCACTATATTAAGCAAAGGATCTACTCGACTGTAAATGCGGCGTTTGATAAATCGAAAGCGACTCAATTGCGCCCAAAACTCAGGTTTCTGTAACATACCCACCCATTAAAAGGTTGTTATTAACAGGCAAAGCGATTCGCAAATTGACAAAGCAAGATATCGAAGCGATAATATTCAAACATTGCATAACAGTGTCAGTATCTATAGTGGTCTGGTTTGAAGGGTCCATCTTTGGGAACTCCAATGTAAGCGGCCTGTTCATCAGTAAGCTTGGTAAGCTTGACCCCGAGTTTTGGAAGATGAAGAGCAGCAACTTCTTCATCTAACTTCTTTGGCAGCATGTGAAGTCCAACTTTGTATTGCTTTTCAGTTCCATATTTCGTGAACATCTCAATTTGAGCGAGTACGTGGTTAGTGAACGAGTTTGACATCACGAATGATGAGTGTCCAGTAGCACATCCGAGATTCACAAGTCGGCCTTCCGCAAGAAGGATGATATGACGACCGTTTTTCAGCAGATAACGGTCAACCTGAACACATGAGACTGACGATGATTAAGAAAAGTATGAGGGCCAATTCCATGAATGCGCACCTGTGGCTTGACATTCTCTTTACTGACAGCATTCTCATTGAGCCACTTAACATCGACTTCTACATCAAAGTGTCCTATGTTGCACGCAATAGCGTCATCAGGCAAAAGCTCCAGGTGACGTCCCAAGACAACGTCCTTGCATCCGGTGGCGGTAACAACAATGTTGGCACGGGGAGCAGCTTCTTCAAGAGTAGTGACTTCATAGCCCTCCATTGCAGCTTGCAGAGCGCAAATGGGATCAATTTCGGTGATAATGACTCGTGCGCCGAAGGCTCTCATGGAAGCAGCGCAACCTTTGCCTACTTCCCCATATCCGCAGACGACGGCAATCTGAGAAAGATTTTCAAACTTCAGGCGACGAGGAAAAGGACAACCTTTCCAGCAAGCATGACGTCAGTTGCTCGCTTGATTCCATCGGGAAGCGACTCACGGCATCCGTATAGATTGTCAAACTTGGATTTTGTGACAGAATCGTTTACGTTCATTGCCGGAATCTAAACAGGAACTTAATGTTCTTGCATGGATGTACTTTTTCTTTACATAGATCGTGCAACGCTTTGTAAAGTTAATTAGGCAAGATAAGTTCTATTACACTACTGCGACAGTGGATCGGCAAGTCTCATTCTGAGAAATTCTTGCTTACGGGTAATCGGATGCGCTGCGTTCAGAAAACCCACGTTGGG